CAGGGCCGGCGGCCGCTCGGGGGGTACCCGCGCTCCGCGGGGCCGGCCGCCCCGACCTAGACCTATCGACGCCCCCGCCCCCCGGCCGTGTCCAGTCAGGGCTGCCGGGCAGGGGAGGGATCTGCTGAGGCCCGGTGGCTGCCCGCCAACTCCTGAGGCCTGCTCCCTTCAGAGAGCCGCCCAGTTCACTGCGTGGTGCGGGGGGCCGCCCTGGTGGTCCCAGACGAGGTGAATACAACGGCGTTCGCAGCCTCTTTTGCCGCAGCCTCTTCGCTGAGTGCCTTCGTTTTCTCTGTCTTGCTTCCACCGGGGAGCCCCGACGCTGCCCTGAATTGCTGAGTGGCGAAGAGTCCGTTCGGCCGTTGCTGGGCCCCTTCTGTTTTCTCCACCACCTGCTCCCGCGGTGCCCTGTGCTCTGCTGGGCTGCCTCTGCTGTTCTGGACAGGCAGGTGGTGCGGGAGTGCTGCTGGCTTGGCAGGGTGAACCGAGAACGGTCAGCTCCGAGCGTATCCTGTCCGGCCTCAAAACTTCATTTACCTTTTGCTTTAAATAAAATTGGGTGCCGCTGTGATCTTCCTTAGCGGATCAGTTTGCAGAAACTTTTTATTATTGAAGGCACTGTCTGACACTGCATATTTATTAAACTAAAATATTTTCTCCAGAGTAACACACTTGACATTTATTAGTTTGCATACGTCATTGTGTCAGCTTGAATTTATCTACCTAGCATCAAATATTTTCTCTCTCTTTTTTTTTTAATAGTGTAAATACAATATGCAAGTTTAAGTGCTCCTGTGCTAATGTCTGGGTCTGTGGTGTTGCAGAGGAATGCGGGCAGTAGCTCAGATGGAACGGAAGACTCTGATTTCTCTACGGATCCTGAGCATACAGACAGCTCTGAAAGCGATGGCACATCACGGCGATCCGCCCGTGTGACCCGTTCCTCAGCCAGGCTCAGTCAAAGCTCTCAAGGTAAATGCTTTATTTTCTTAAATAAGGAAAAGAAAAGCAGCCTCTTAAGCAACAAGAGGCTTGATGTATTCCATGTTCCTGACCTTTAGAACTTAAATGTGTGGAGTTTATACCTAAATAAAAATATTTAACTTTTTTCCTTGGCTATTAATGTACCACAGCAAAAAGCAGTCTTTATGTGTGCATGTTGCACAAATGAGGTAATATAATCTAACGATTACACTGGTGGTGGAAGCCAAAACTTGAGCATCCTCCTTTGAGAAAGTAAAGCCGTCTACTTGTTCAAGGAAGTAGGACTCAAACACCATGATTCTGCTGCCAGCTTTGCCTAATTTTTCTGAGAACCTTAAGAATTTGCTTTCCATCTAGACAGTTGTATTGGTACTGGAGCCAAGCTAGAGAGAGCGTGTTTAGAGGTGAAAGTTGTTTTTGTTTTCTTTGTTTGTTTGTGGTTTTCTGTACTGCAAGGGAAGATGTATTTTCATGACTTGCTGACACTGACCCTACTCTTCAGCAAATGTAATCAACATATTGCCAGTTATTTTGTATGCTTCTGCTTTGGCATCCAGATTGTAAGAGGAAACATTGAATGCGTCCACCTCCTCATTTTCAGTGTTAGTGTAGTCATTTCTTGGCTGTTAATAAGCTGCCATCTGGCATCAAGGGGAGGAAATGACAGTAGATAATAACTTCTTTCCATTGCTCCATGTGTACACTTTGATAAAGAATCTGTTTTGCAACAAATTTTATTGCAGGTAAGAAATATACATGCAAGATCATCTGATAATTAGGCCTTAAAAACAAGAGGAAAGGTGGTTTGGATGTGTGTGGGATGCCTGTGGTATTCCTAGGTTACGAAAGCATTATTTTCATGCAAAATAATTGTTTTATAGTCTTATGAGCACTATAGGATCACAAAACCACACACAGGGTCCCAAATATAGCTCCACATCAGAAGCAGTCTCGCTATTCCCAAGGGTTGTCTAAACACTGATAGTTCTTATCTAAACTAACGGTTTCCAAATGGGAGCTGGTTTGTAATTACTGGTTAATTAAGCAATTAAGTCCAGAGAAAGCTGATCTAATTCCAGATTCCTCAGTGTTGGTAAAAGTGTCAAAAGATTTAAGCTTAGAAGAACAGAGCATATCTTTGTGATGACATGCAGCGGTGAGCGGCAGGACAGAACTCTGTGGTGATACCCAGCTATCAGATGTTGGTATTGCAGACTGCAGAGCACGTGTGAGGCAAGTCTCTGACTTACAGTGGTTATTGTGGGTGTAATTATGGTGTTTCTATGGAATTAGATTCCAGCCCAGTTCGTAATCCGCCGTCGTTTGGAGCAGAAGAGCCTGTCTATTCTACGAGGAGGGTAACCCGCAGCCAACAGCAGCCTACTCCTGTGACTCCAAAGAAATACCCGCTCCGGCAGACTCGCTCATCTGGGTCAGAGACTGAGCAAGTGGTTGACTTTTCTGATAGAGGTACGTGGGGTGCGGTGAGGTGTTGAAAGTTGGCAAAATGCTCTTGGAAAAAAGTATGTGACTCCATTCTCTGAGGGCACAGTATAATATCCTGAGGATAGAGGTTTGAGTCAGCTGTCTGGAGTTGCTGTACATATTTTTTTGAAAGCTCTCTTTCAGGCAAATTTGTAACATCTTGATCCTTATTCAGACACTAAAAATGCAGCGGATCACGATGAGTCTCCACCTCGTACCCCCACTGGGAATGCCCCTTCATCAGAGTCTGATATTGATATCTCCAGTCCAAATGTATCCCACGATGAGAGCATTGCCAAGGACATGTCCATGAAGGATTCTGGAAGTGACCTGTCTCACCGACCTAAGCGCCGCCGCTTCCATGAAAGCTACAATTTCAACATGAAATGTCCCACTCCTGGTTGTAACTCTTTAGGTAATTTCAGCTCCGGGATTAATCTGCTGGTTTTTGCCTTCCTGCTGCGATATTCAAAGTCCCGCTCAGCTGAGTTATATATCCTAACAACATGCGCTTAATTAGGAAGTATTACTGAGAAGTGAGTATAGAGAAGGGATATGAAGCATATCTACAGGTATATTCTTCCTGGAGGTGTTTTCTGGCTAGGAGTGTTTGGGGGATGATAGGGTAAAGAACAAGTTAGGATACGAGCG